TTGTGTAAAGACGGAAAAATGAGAGAGTGACAGTTGGAGTCGATCTGTGAGTCTGCACTTATGTCCGACGATCTTGTAACTCCAACTCACGCTGGATGCTTAAACACTAGGTTTTATATAATTTCCACCCCCGACGCTTGAGGCCCAAAATTCGGGTAAGGGTAGAAGTCAAATTCCTTGTAAACTCTCAGATTGACGATTTATCTCATAAGAGTACGCCAAATGTTCATAATCGAATCCGGATAAAAAGGATTCAAGATGTGGGTGCGAATGGCTCGACTTTCCTTCGTATTTCGGAATCCAATTATTCCCGTAATTTCTTATTTTTTATATGATTCTCAAAATGACTCGAATTATCTTATTTGATTCCTAGAGCACTGCTCTACAGGTGTTAGTTACAATTTAATTTAGGTTATCCAGCTTCGGATATCCGGTGGCATAAGGTTCTCTAGGTTTGGTAGGATGTTTGGTGATAAGGTTCTTGTGCACTCATTCGTGCCATAATTCTTATCTTTTCCAACTGTGGAAGCTCGACAGATTGGAGACAATCACAGTGATAGAGCCCGAACTGTCTTTCACAGTTGAAGATCGTGTTGGCTCCTGCTTCAGGGTTGTTACTGACAGGGTCGAAGGTTCGGATCTACACTTTCTTTCTATTCTTTTTGTTCGAACCTGCTTCGATTGACTTCTGTCAATCGAAGATATGGCTCTTTTCTTTTTTTTTCCTTTTCTTTATTTTCCACGTTCTAATGTTCGTGTTTGGGAGATGCTGCTGTTCCGTACGCGGTTTATTAGACCGCGTGGGGCGAGATCCTAACCGAACTTGAATCCGATCGGGATCCGCGAAATGAAGTTGTTCTAATTATCGATCACGCGAGTGAATAAAACTAACGAGTATCCGTCTTTGATCGCGGACTAGCGCAAGAAGTTAAGCTACTAGTCTAGAGAGGCTGTCAAAGTATGACGAGCCTAGCCGTGAGATAGCCGAAAAAGCCGTGAATAGCCGAAATAGCCGAAGTGAAGCCGTGAAGGAGCGTCCCGATGACGTCCTGAGTTAACCGAAGCCTGAGTTGAACTGATCTTTTTGGTTGTTAACCAAGACGCTTCCCCTGCGTCTTGCCTTCGGGTGGGGAGCAACATTGTCACCGAGTGAGTTTCCGATCGCAGGGTAGTTCGCAGAAGTGCGCCCATAAATAACCTGAAGAGGGTTGCCTAAAACTCCGTAGAATTTTTCAAGCACGTCTCCGTCACCAAACAATAAACCAGTAAAGAGGCCCTCGCTGAGTTTAACCCTCCTCGAGGACTCTCGATTTACGTCGGTCATTGGAGATAACTTATGGCCGCCCTTGCCCAAAAGACAGCCAAATTCGGAAAAACCTCGAGCGACATGTGCGGTCCAGGCGGACGGACTTTCTCCGCGGAGCGTATCCTAAACAGCTGCAGTAGTGCAGTTCCAGAATTAGGTTTAAAAAGGATTAGAATTGGGGATGCGATGGCTACTACGATGGCAGAGACCGCAAGTAGTTGGGATTTAAGTAGGATTTTCTGCCTGCCTGTAACTCTTATTTCATAAATGAGTCTGATTCCGGCTTACTCCGGTTTTGTTTCTATCTTCTCGCGTTTCTAACTCTGCCCAATTATGGACTCGAATTAATTCTACCGATATCTACTTGGGTGACTATTGTTATGTCTCGAGTACGAGAGGGTGAGAGAAAAGAAAACGATTCGTTTATGAAAGGGAAGAGGGGTAAGGGAGATCGTATACGGAAGGGAGTGCGACATCAAGCACCCGCGCCTTTGGTGAAGTCCAAAGGAATTGTGGGAACAGAAATTTTGTGGGCCACTCAGCGAGTCCTATGCGGACTGGTCGATACTGGGGGGGGTATAGATTACGAAATAAAGAAACTTGAGTACAATTTACTTAGTTTATTGGATAAAAGTTGTGGAAGATTTATAAGAAACAACAAAGTGGGCGTGCGTGTGTGTGTGTGCGCGCGCGCGCGCGCGAGTGTGTGTGTGTGTGTGTGGGGGGGTATTTCTCAATACCTTAATTCGTTTCCTGAATTTGCTGTCTGTTCGTACTAACAAGGAAACGTTCCCAAGTGTCGCACCTCGATTTCGATCATTTTTATATATGTTGTAGATACTCGAAAATCTAAGGTACGCATCTTTTTTTTTTTACGTGCTAAGATTGATATCTAGGGGGTTGAACAACCCCTCAAAGTTTGATGAAAAAATCGATTTTTCATTTTCTTTCATAGAAGCACTCCACGGATTTCAATGAAACTTGGCTCAAATATATCTCGTGTAAGGACGATCCAGAAACGATATCACCCTACACGGTTGCACCCCCTCGACGGGGGTAAACTACCCTTATCAATAATTTTTTTCATTTTTGTTCGGCGACAAATGATCGATCGAATTAAAAACTGCATGCCGTGAATCCTTGCATTAAATAAAAGTTTACGTGATTTTGTTTTTTTCCGAAAAACCACTATTTGACATTATAAATATTAAGGCAAATTCGACTGGATTCTGGAAACTTTCTAACCTTTGATGGACATATCCACTTTTGAATCAGGCATATTAAAAGAGGCTTTGATATCTAGAATAAGATAATTGATTATGTACGAGTGATTGCAGTTTTATAATATTGTTTCGAAAATGAAGATTGACATCGTAATTGTGTAAGAACACGTGGTCAGAGAAACGTCTCACCAAATTTTTCCAGACTCTAAAACCATAGACATCTAAAAGTTGAATTCGCCCGGTAATTCCTTTTGGTATGATCATCAACCAACAATGAAATGTAGGCAGGTTTTGAAGTGACCTGTAATTCCAAAGTATTATTAACCGTGACGTCCGTGTAGATTGCATTCATAAAAAGATAGTCAAGTACGTCATTACCTGATGTCATTTTGCTGGATGATGAAGGCAGAAGGAATACATTTGGGGGCTGATATAATGTTTTTTCTACTGGAGGCCCAAATCGACCATCCGGTTCCTTTAAAACTGTCAATAAAGTTTATAATAATCGACCATCGCAGGAGATTATTGGTTGAATCGTATAACTGTGAGTTGTGGATATGGATTGTCGATATGGATTGAGCACAGTATTCCACTTTTTGCGTTCCCTCATACATTAACGTACGTCCTGAATGAACTTTGAGCTGGAATTCACTTTGATCAGAATTATATATATTTTGAGGCCCGTACTCTTCTATAAGAATATTTACAGAGTTAACGAACTCATTACCCGATTTTTTTCAAGCTCTCAACGTCTTCTACTGTCTTTCTTGAGATGAATGTTGAGATTTTTTTAGAAACAATGCGATGAGCTTTTTTGAAATTGTATATCCACTTTGCAGAAACCATGAATTGCATGTTGTCGCTGCTCTGCTCTTCCCAAGCTTCTAATGCCTATTTTTTAATATCTGAATCGTGCACTATTAATACAGCTTTGATAGCATTCCGTTATTTGTTCAATGTAAATCTCGAGACGTGTATCAATTTTTCTCTCCGAGTCCCTCCTTCATTCACTTGTTTTGCCCACCTCGTTAACTGACATCGGTCAGAAAGTTTTTTAAATTGATTCTGGACACTGGAAAACTTGTGGTAGTCTTTTCTTCCACTCCGCCAGTAATCTACTGCTCGTTTTTTGTAATCAAAATCAATATCATCTTGCATTGGACGACGGCACACAAATGAAGAAGGTCCAGGAACTCCTTTCTCACTCCACTCTTCTGCATCTTCGACATATTCTGCGTCCATTTCTCAAAGGCTTCTTCAAAATCCAATGTCGAATCTTTGGTTATTTCTAAAGCATTATAGTCGAATATACTGTCCATAAGAATTTTTTTAATCGATTCTTTTAGAATTACTTCTTGCTGATTCAACTCAGTCGTTGGAAAATGCATTGTTTGAAATGTTGCGGTCAGTAAATTAATCACGTTCATTGGATTTACGAACATGTTTGAAAAATCGGAACGCGCTGTCACAATTGAAAACTCTTTGTACTGAAGAATGTCTAACGATTGTTAAGCCGTAATGCACGCACATCGTTATTAAAGAGTCACACATCTGCTTGCTATATCATTCGTTTATTTATATCCCGACTCATAATCTTATACATCGACTCACATCTCATACATCCCGTGAGTTCATTTCCGCCGGCACGCACTGTCTGATCGTGCCGGGACCTACAAGAACAATACCGGAATGGAATTTTCGGGAAATCGGACTTTACCTATTTTTGGGCGCCAGGCACACAGACGTGCCAAATGTCCCGTTACGGCATCCAGCCACGTACCCGAGCACCAACAATAACTAAAACATGGACCACCACTGTGCCGATTTCCCCGAGAATCCCGACCGAACCTTAACGCAAAACCTGTACACGGCTAACCCAGATAAACCAATTAATTAGCCGAATAATTAGCCCAGATAAGCCATTTAATCGACCGAATAATTCGGCCGCGGGGAGGGGGGGTTCTTTCTGAACGCCGGTTTCTACGAATCAGAGGTTTAACCCCTTGCACTATGCCAAAACTCTGAAAAAGCCGTGCCAAACTTGTCCGCCGAAATGGTCGCGGGGAGGAGCCGAGCGGCGCACTTTGAAACACGACACATTACGACTGACAAGTTACATAGTCCCGCTCGTATTTACTATACGCGGTAGAGGTGTTTGGAAATTCAAATTAATTTGAATCAAAAACTTTTAAGAAATACTTTATTTATTACATATCATTGAAGCAAATTTTGTATAAGTAAGAGCGGCGGAGTTCGAGCGGCGCACTTTGAAACACGACACATTACGACTGACAAGTTACATAGTCCCGCTCGTATTTACTATACGCGGTAGAGGTGTTTGGAAATTCAAATTAANGCCATCGCGAGTGCGTGAGTCCCTGTCAGAAATTTGTTGCGCCGCCCTTGGGCGCAAAAAACGGTGAAAGCTCACGTACAAAACCAGAGGGCAGCACACGACGCGATCGCGCGACCCTGCCCGTGAGCAATCTCCCAACTCATCTCTGCTTTGTCGCCTTGGGCCTGGCTACTCTCATATTCTCTCTGGTAGAAGTCTGTTTTTGAGAGATGAGTAGTATTGTTTAAATGGCAATCTCCTTGCATAATATTGCACTCTTTCTGCTACTTTGACAGGTCGTGATAAATCCAGTTGGGAGAAAGCGAAACCATTCGATAAATTCCGTGTTCTCAAAGTCAAGTAACTGAAAAATAGTATATTGAAATCTAACTTATATTAAATTAGATTCGACATAGAAAGCTGCCAGAGTTGTATCGGCTAACTTGAATGAAGCCGATTGCTTTTAGATTCATTCTGATGTTTTTTGGACAACGAGTAGGTGGTGGCGTATTTGTGCAAAAACAAATACTGGATGAAAGCTCAACCGCTAGCAAATCACGATCATTCTGATCAGCCGATCAAGATCGTAATAAGATCATGTCCGCGATTTTAAATTAACAGTCTAGGTTTAGAAATAAACGCTTCAAAAATTCAACTACACCTCGACGAATTTACCTCTACTTTTTCGTACACAAAACCAAGGACGTACTCCAAGAAATGTTGCAAAACACGGAAGAAATGATACGTATGGAAATAACGGATCATTTGGAAAATAGAAATTAATGACAATGTGTATTTAAGAGACTGATTTTGCAGTAATGTAACCAAGAAAGGAAGACAGTTTGGATGCAGGCATGTCACGAGATAAATCCGTTATCGATGGAGGAACATATCGATATGCAATTGTCCTCTAGTGATCGAAATGAAGCTTCAATGCAGGCAAGCATGACTGACATAGAAGTTATACCTTGGTCCTTGCGAACAATCCTCCAGCGAGTCTGCCTTTCAATGTAATTGCTATCAAAGCTTTGTCCTGACTTAACGATCATGGCCGAGACGTCCAGCAAACTATATCCGCTTCACAGATGCATCTTTCAAGGTGATATCAAGGCTCTTAGTTCATTGATCAGAACACATGACATCTCGGAGAAGGACAAACAAGGTGCAACTACGTATAATTGTACAGTGAAGTATGCAGAGTGTTTCTAAACAAACAATCAGATCATGCCAGTATGTTATAAGAAGAGATGCAGAAAAAATGTTTATAAACATAGGTTCAAAAATGTGTTATTGTAAAGTTATAACAGAAATAAGTAAACATAAAATAAGCAAAGCAATAATGGGCATACTATTGGAAGAATATGATGTAAGAAATCGATACTGATCTGATCGATCTGATCTGATTCGATTATTTGAGCTGTGTTCATATTTCATGATATTTGTTTATGTCTAACAGTTATAAGCTAATACCTTCATACTTTTACCCGTGGGAAATTGTCAAAAAAAAGCGTATCAAATAGGATTTAATACCCAAGTAGAAGTGATACAAAATATCAGTTACTAAGTCTCCACTGTTGGTATTTATTCAACACTGAATTAGATAAATCTGTCTTTATCTGTATCTGTGATAAATCTTTAGCTGTATCTCTACCACATAGTCAATTCGGTATTCAATAAAACCAAATCGTAGGGACATATCCAAAGTTGAATTTGTCCATTCTGGTATTGAATAAATACCGAAGGTGGAGAATTAGTAAATGACATTGATTGAAATTCATGAACATCGAGATGAAATTCATGGAGTAGTAAACTCAGTATCTGAATGATATCAAACTTGCTCTGTCAAGAATGGATGACATTTTGTAATGGAATATTAATTTTTGTTATAATTTTTAGTGGACATTCTTGGACCCGTGTTTAAAAACTTTTTTGTTTCTACTCAGGGAATTTATTGGAACAATTTGATTGTATGATTTGGAAACAACTTGTATGTTTATTTATTCATAAAATTAACCATTAAATATTGTTCTTTTAGGAAATACACCTTTGCATTTAGCAGTTATGTTAGGTAGAAAAGGTACGTGCAGAGTAAATGGTATATTTACATTTGAATTCTAAAGAAGTTTGTAGATTTAATTTTGTATAGAAGAATATAATTGAAAATGATTTTCTTTAGAATGTGTTCAGTTACTACTCGCACATGGTGCACCTGTAAAAGTAAAGAACCTTGTGGGATGGAGTCCTTTAGCGGAAGCGATTAGTTATGGGGACAGACAGACTAGTAAGTTTCTTTTACTATGAATAAGAAGTAATTGTACATACTCCTAATATGTTCCAGAACATTTAAAGAGGTGTAAATATTTTTCAGTATCTTCATTAGTAAGGAAGCTTAAGCAACAAGCAAGAGAACAGATGGAAGAAAGGCGACCAAATTTAGTTGCAGCACTCCGACAAATGGGCGATTTTTATATGGAACTAAAGTGGGATTTTCAAAGTTGGGGTAAGTTTTGAGCAGTTTATTATTACATA